CAACAGTATACCATATTTGCTCACCAGGCTTATCGTTAGAGTTAAAACGGCGTCACCGGTTCCTCGACCAATTCATTTTTTCAACCACGAGCTTTCTTCTTTTCAGCTAACGATAAGTTAAGAAAATACCAAGTAACGCATATTCTCCGCGTCGTGACGCGCCGTGTTGAGTCGCCGCTGTTCTGCAACGCATTAAAACGAAAACGTCGGAGAAATTTCAGATAATGTTCAATAGTAAATTAAGATATAATAACTTTCGTGAAAGTTGTACGACGGCGAGGAAATGGAAGAGAAGAAAAAGGCGATAGTGGAGGAGGGACGAGGGGATAGGGAACTCCATTAACTTTTATTTCTCCGGGAAAGTAACTTTGCCCCCTCTAGTGCCCGACGAGGACCACCCACCACCCCAGCCCCTCGTCTTCCGTCTCACCGTCTGCTGGCTCCATGGTTTCTCTCTCATCCCTCTGCCGCTTCACCTCGTTCACCTCCCTTGGTCGTTTCGCGTTCGCCGGCCGCAGCCTTCTTCTCCTCCGTCGCCCCTGCCTCCGCCAGGCCAGCAACCCCTCCATCACTCCTCCCGCCACTTCTACCTCCACCTTCGTCTCCTTCGTTGCGCTTCTTCCACAGGATTCCCCTCTGTTTCCCCTTGTCCATGGCCCCCCGCCGCACCGACCGAGCAGCTCGCTTCCCACCGGTACACCTCTCTCGGTACTTGGGTGCCTCGATGCACCGATGAAACTTTGTAAAGCGACTTAGTCAAACTTTAATAAATTCCTTCGTAGAGTTTCAAAGCGGTTCTACGCGGGATTGCAAATGATTACGTTTCTTCGCGCGGCGCCCTCAACCACCTCTCTCTCTCTCTCTAGTATACTATTTCTCTCTCTCTCTCTCTCTCTCTCTCTCTCTCTCTCTCCCCCCCCCCACTTTTCTCCATTTCGTTGTCTCACCGGTAGGATATACGTGATCGAAAACAGACATATCGAAGAGGACGTTTAAAACGAACTGGCACCGCGGCGATTTCATGTGCTCGGTGGTAAAAAGATTCAACGAGGAAAATGGGCCAGTTCGCCACCTAGACTTTTCGGACAACGTCGGGGAATGAACGTCACGATATGAAACGAGATCAAATCGAGACGTGTACGCGCATCCCCATGGCAACGATCTCGATCAAGTAGGAAGTAACAGAACGGAGAGCAGAGAACGATCTAGATAATGTATTCGATACAGGTAATATATAGCGCTCCAGATACAATATTTATGTCTGTACGTATTTCGCTAGCAGTCCATTATTCATTCCGTAGCGGTGAATAAGCATTTCGGAGTATCGTATCGTATCGTACCGTATCACGTTATTTAGACGCCGCCAGGGTGCACCGTGTGCGTCTGCGAATTTCTTACACGCCAAGAATCACTGCCGTCCGACCAGCAAACCTGCTACAAACTTTGCACGCGCCAGCGAGACCAAAACTAAACTCGTTACACGCGCGAAGCGCTCTTTGCTCCTTACATCGAGAATGGTTGCTAGGACACATGGTTCGCACGACACACGAACATTTTTACGAAATTCGCCCGATCTATCGCGAGGCACTCGTTTCAAAGAATAGGTCATCAAAGTTTCAACGTTTGCTGCATCGTTCAGAGTGTGCTGTCGATGAAGGGGCGCGCGTGCTCGCTCCAGAGGAAATATATAGATAGAAAAGTAAATGGTGGGAGAAGCGAAGGAGGAGGAAAAGCGAAGCTAGAAGGGAAGGAGGCGAGGAGAGAGAGAGAGAGAGAGAGAGGGAGAGAAGGTTCAGAAAAGCAGAGAGGAAAGCTAAGAACGGTCCGATCCACAGGGGAGACAAGATTCACACTTGTTGCTCCCTTCTTGGTCGTACGGTGAAAAGCCCGTTTATCCGAAGAATTTCCTGCGGTCAAAAGGTCACGTGGTTATGGAGCACAATCTTCTCTTTCTTCGGCTCGGTTTGTACACGTATAGGTACGTTTTTACGGTTTTACCATGTTAGCTCTTTTTCTCCAGACCCTTCTTTCTCCTGTTCGATAATCGAGCCTAACCAGCGAATAGGAGAATTTTGATGCAAGGGAGAGCCGACCTCGATTTCCGCATGTAATAGTCATCGAACGGAGCAGGAGAGTGGCCGCGCGCGCGGTGCAGCGGCGATGGAACAACAACGGCTCGGAAAAAATTAGAACGAAGGAACACGAGGGGAATAGATCGCGGGAACGGAGAAACGCTCGCTTACCATGACTGGTAATAAGAGATCTACGCGAGATAAGCGGACGCTCGCTCGTTCGCTTGCTCGCACACTCACTCGCGTAATAAGTAAAACCGGTTTAACAGAGTGTCGACGATAATACAAAGGACGACGTACTATATGTATACACCGGGATAAAGATAAAACAGTTTTGCGAATTGCGCGATTCCCCTTGGCGCGTTCTACGGAATTGAAAGGGTTGTCGGTACTCGTGGCTCGGTTCGATGGGGCGGGACGAGGGGGAGAGGCAGGGAGGCGGCTAGCAGAATGCGAAAGTGTAAACATGTGGTAAAAAACGAGTAATATACCGCAGAAACAAACGGACAAATGAACGAATGCGACGAAAAGAGGAAATCGTTATGCCGTGATAAGCCTCGGGCGATTATCAGCTGTGCAAACGCGCTAGCCCGAAGAAATTTGTAAAATCAATATTTGTCCGAGATGTTGAAAAACACCGTTAATGGATCACGAAA